CCCCAAAACCCCAAAACCCCAAAACCCCAAAACCCCAAAACCCCATACTGTTAAAATATCTGAAAATTAGCGTCTGTGATATATGATAATTTGAAAACAATATTATAATTAAGAGTATTTCTAACATTCAATTGATCAATCAGAAATGGAGAAACCTAAGAACAAATTTGCTGGGTCGGGGCTAGATAAAACTAAATCCTTTAAGCAAAAGAAGAAAATCCATAAGGGCTCAAGAGGATATGGATTGAGATAAATCGCTAGAATGACTATCGGCACCGGTAACTTGCAACTTGCTGTTGAATTACCTGCTGGAGAAGATCTAAACGAATGGCTTGCTGTTAACACTATTGAATTCTATAATGAGATCAACGTACTCTATGGTATACTGACTGAATTCTGTACAGCTGAGATCTGTCCCACTATGTCAGCTGGTCCTAAGTACGAATATCTCTGGGCAGACGGTCACAATGTCAAAACTCCACTAAAAGTTAGCGCATCTGAATATATTGATTTTCTGATGACATGGGTTGAGAATTAACTTAACAATGAGAAAATATTCCCTTGTGCCCTAGGTGTCCCTTTCCCCAAAAACTTTATAAATATAATAAAGGTGATCTTCAAGCGCCTATTCAGAGTCTATGCTCACATATATCATACTCATTTCTAGCACATTATGTTGCTCTCAGCTGAGACCCACTTGAACACATGCTTCAAGCATTTCATCTACTTTATTGACTAGTTCAATCTAGTGGATTAGAAAGAACTCGCCCCACTTGCCGAACTTATTCAGCAATTCAAGGAGCGTAAGAATGAGAGCGAACAGTCTCCCACTATGAAAAAGTTCTATAATAATTAAGCACCACCCGCATAAAAATAATAGTATTGAAAGTCAAACTCGATGCCCCTTTGATGTTTATATAATTGATAAACAATTAAATTCATTCTTTCTTCTTATTTTATTAATATATTTCGTTAAAATTATTCACAAAAATGCATGCAAACAAACTAGAAGAGTAATCATCAAATTCTAAAGACTATCATATTCAATCACATACTTTAAATAGGAAAAAGATTGAGGGTATAAAAAGTAAATCAAGGGCAGATCTGAGTGATACAGGAATTGTGAATGAATAAGTGGGCGATAGTGTCAATGATTAATTTGAAGACAGCTTTCAAAGATTATACAGCAAAGAATTAGATCTCGATGAAGGTATAAAATTACTCATTTTATCTTTAAAGATGAGGTTCCCATAATTCTTCATGAATTGAATGATAGTGCAATTCACTTCATTTCAAGAGACCAATATGAGAGAGCATTATCTTTATTACAGAAAGCGCAAACACTTATTGATGTAAGTTAATTTCATGCATATGACTTAATCATATGAAATTAGAGACTTCAATATCAGAAGAATCCAAATGATAGATTCATAGTATTGTTAACTATGCATAATATGGCTTTATGCTTTTAAAAACTTGGTGCTTTAGAAGAATGCGCATTATGTCTCGAGGCCAGTCTTTAGTCTATAAACTCCCCTTTTTTGCTTCCTAAATTCCAGGGAGATCCATCAAGGAAACTGAAAAAACTAAAGTATGAGTGCAAAGCTCACATGCAAGTGTGTGCGCTACTTTCATAACTTCACAGACATAAGGAAGCACTTTAGCATGCAGAAAAAAGCGTGATGATTGCCTAGTACATGATTAATGACCTGTTGGTGATGTGCTAGCATTATCATGCTAAAGTAGTGCAAGCAAAGAAGAATGAATAATTGGCATAGGAGTTACTAAACATGGGTAATGATTTATCGATTTTTATCTTATGTAATTTGATAGATTCCAATCAGTAAAACAGAGAATTGATTTACTATGACGACACTGTATCCATGCTTGAGAGGACTGCATATAGAATTTTACCTATCATAAAAGAAGTAGCCAGCAGAATGATAAAAAGTTCAAGTGATTAACCTAAAAAAGATATGAAAAAATAAAATTCTGATCATGATAGCGAAACAATGAAACAAAAATTGAACATGAAAGCTGTTCTCGGGTATTTGAATTAGAGTGAGTGGCTTTACCTTTTAAACATTGGAAATATTATGCAAATTACTCCTCTAACTGTTCACGATCTCTATTCATGCCAGTAATTTGAAGTTGAATTGACTAGAGATGCGATTCTTGAAAAGGTAAGATTATTTGCTCAGGAATTTTGAGTTTTTATTGATAAAGAAAGATTAGTTTTCTTGCGGTATCTTACTTCTGCATATCAACTGAGCTAAGATTTCTAGTATAAGTTAAAGATGACCCTAAGATTGACCCTTTAAGAAAGAAAAAAGAGAGTGAATACTGGCATGCTAAAGCCCTAGAAATATCTTGCAGTTTTCTACCAAGTGAGAGCCCCTTAGTCTCTCATATTTTAACTAGTTACTAAAAACATCATGCTCCTGTTTAGCAAGAAATAGTAAGTAAAATATTTTTGTTTTTATCATTAAATTAGCCTGAAGATAAAGAATAGTTAATTGAACTTAAAGTTGTCAGACCACTGGCAGGTATAGATATTTGCAAATTTTAGCCTATGGTAAGATAAGATGATTCATTGAAAATAACAATTCCGAATCTGCCTCTTTCTCCAAATAATTACAGTTAAAATAAAAGAAAAAGTATTGATGGAAAATAGTCTTAATTGGCTTCACTTCCATTTTCCCCAAACAATTAAAACACTACTAACGCATCTTAAAATGGTTTTTTCTCATCATAAATAGCAAATAAAATTTAAACTACTGATTCATCCTCTTCAAATTTAGCTCCATCACAGAGGCAAAATTAATAGCAAAATAGATTCAGCAAAAATAAAAATAATGTACACAATAAAAATCCGAGGAACAATAATTAAGTAGATAACTCAACGGATGGAATTCAAGTTGATTAATAGAATCTTGAGGATGGTCAATCAGAATAACTATTAGATAATGCCAACAAATCTATGATGGATGTAATGCCATCTTCAAATTACAAGAAACTTTTGAATGAATTTAGTAACATACAAAATTCAAGCGATATTATTGAAGAAAATGATGATGATGATAAAAATGAACAGTTCTTCGATGTGGAGGAGGATGAAGAAGATGAAGAAAACGAAGAGGATGATGATGAAACTAATCTGCAAAATAATATGAGCGCCATCGAAAATGATATCTCACAAATTCATCAAGAAAGCTAAGAGGTAGAATTAGTCATGGATGAAGTGAGGCGAAAAAGACAAAGCCAAACTGCTAATAACGAGAATAGACGGACAAGAAGTGGCTAAAACAGGAAAAACTAGTAAAATAGCAACATTAATGATAGTTCTTTGAATGGTAGAGTACTTGATATATCCTAAGAAGACATTCAAAGTGAAGATTCAGAATTAGCTGGAGTAAGTGCTGAAAACAATAGAAATAAATCAAGATCTAAAAATGCAAAGCTAGGCTAAAATTTGTCACTTGATGGATAGGCTCAAAGAAACAAAAGGCCAAAAACCAGCTAAGGCATTAGAAAGAGTACGAAGTAGATTGGCAGTCAAATAGAAAAGCAAAATAACAGCATGAAAACAACAATTAAAAACAACCATAATAATGCAGGTCAATTTGTACCTATATCAGATGGAATATCCCCTAATAATGAGAGCAAAGCATTAGCAAACGGTTAAATCCTTCCTAATAGCAATCAACTACTTAATAAGTATAATACTGTTGCTAATGGCTTCAATACTGCTGCAAATATCAGTTAGAGTATACTTTTCAGTGGAGTTTAAACAGATCTTAATGGTAACTCTACCCCAATTAAATAAAATCACAGTGAAAGCAGATAAAAAGTACAAAATAAAAACAGAGAAGCTGTGAATCTAAGCAGAGCTTAAAATGACAGAGGTGAAACCTAAAACACAAATTAAAGTAGTAGCTCAGAATTGATTTTGAATAAAAGACCAACCTCAAAATCTAAACGAATTAAAAATATCGAGCAAGCTTAGAACAATAATATTTCTGGTTAAAGTGCCAATAAAAGAGGGATCAATAATCTTAATACATAATAAAATTTTTTAGCTGTTGGATAACATAATCATTCTCAGCTAGTTACTTAAAATCCTAGTATGCGAATGTAAAACAGCGCAACAAGTTAGAATTTTTACGTGACTCCTGGTTAGAGAAGCAACAGTTAGCAGAAAAAGCATATTCATAGTAGTGGGGGTAAAGGCAAGAGTAGTGTCTTTGTCGATGGAATCAATTAGCAGTAGCAAATTAGTTAACTAATGTAGCACTAATCTGCTAAATATATAAACAATAGCAGTCTTGTTGATAGACCATCAATGAACGATATATTTATGATCGATAGACTAGCGAAAAAGAGATAAGCAAATAATCAAAATAATAATAACACTCATGAGCATTAACTTCATTAACAGTCATTTGAACTCCAGTAAAATGATCCAAAGTATAATTCTCAGATTCTGAATAATAGTCAAAGTAGGTCAAAGAGTCGCTCAAAGATATAAAGTTAAAGAAGCAAAGACAAGCAAAAATCAAAGAGTGGAGAGCAGCAGAATTAAAATAATATTGAAGATCTCAAAAGATAAATTCTTCTGAAATAAGCCCTGCTTGATTCTAGCAAGAATTCCCGCAGAAAGTCCTCTAGTAGTCTAAATAATTACAACTCGTAAGGAAATCAATAGTAAAATATCATGCAAAAAAAAAGAGTGGAAAATATAAACTAAAGCTTGAGAGTTAATGGGAATGCCTCCTCACTTCAATAGACTTAAGTAAATTAGCAAAGCTAATGGTCCGTATCTTAGCAACAGTAATTACTAATAACAAACTAGAAAGGCAGTGGCACAATAAACACTCAACAATTAGTTAAAAAATTCATGAAAGAAAGGCAGTAACAGAACTCGAGTAGTCTTTAGCAGAATACTATCTTGTCACTAAATAATTCAATGATAGAAAATTATGCAACCTCAGGTGTGCCTTAAACTGGAGATATACAAACTTACAAACTCCAGCTTTCAAAAAAGATACTACAGCAATAGCAGAAAATACTTGGATAATAATAAGTCAATAATCAGTAACTCTAATAATAGATGTTATTACCATAACAAAATAGATCTAAGGCTGGGCAATATATTACTGAGTCACATCCTAAGCAAAGGTCAGCTACACCTATATTGGATGTCTATGATGGGGCCTAATCCAGAGCATAAAAGCAAATCTCCCAATTATAAAATCCTTCAACTATCTATTAAGGAATAAATAATATCAAGCAAGACAAAAGCTTGTCAGACATAGTAAACATCTAATCTTCATCTCATTTCTAATCGCATAATATAAATATTAAGAATAACAACAGCATTTTAGCCACTAGCAATATAAACTAAAACTCAAGCAGCAATAACGTTTCCTCACTAAATCAGTTCTTGAAGGAATACCAGAGTTTGTAGGACTTCAATAATTAGTCTCTGAGGAGTGGAGGGACAGCCTCTGGAGGTGATGATAGCTTTGTAAAGCAAATTAAAAAGAAAGGCTCTAAAAAGGCCACTCCTAAAAATGTACTAGCTAACAGCTAATTTTCTTGGATTTGAATTTATTATCTATTTTTCAGCAGTTTGATCATACCATAATTAAATAAATAGTCAATTGCATACTCATTAGTAATCTTTTGAATAACTTATATAGATTGATGGGGTTTTGGGGTTTTGGGGTTAAGAATCAAA